ACTTCAGTTACTTAAGATGTAATTAACTATAGGGACTTGCTTCTATAAGAAACTTTGGAACCCAACTTAATATAAACTCTATTTAATCTTCTATATTAACTAGAGGAATTTGTCGGCCAACATGAATGGTTTCGCAGATTAGAACAGATGTCATAGATTCTATAATTTATTTAATCAAACCTCACTATCAAATAATGTATCCATTCTTTGAAATAGATGTATCGCTTGCGGTGTTGTGCTCATTTATTTAAACTATTAAATATATGAGATCAATTCGGTCTCCTATTTTTTACAAATTAAAATGCTACTTTTCAAAATTGTATATATATATATATATCTATATCTATATATATTAAATTATATAATTCAAAACTACCAACTACATGTTTGACGATCGATAGATTCAAGGATGGGGATTTTGAACTTTTCTAGGGGTTCAACCTCAGAAATTTGCCGTGGGAAGACATTTTCAGCATGACAAAGGGTTGTGATTCACATAGTGTAGTGTTTTTCTACCGGGGTCAATCAGACACTATCTTAGTAATGAGAATCATCACCCTTTTCTTCAATTGACTTGGATTTTAAACCGTTGTGTGCCGATCCATCTCGCCTAGTGTAGTGTTTTTCTACCGGGGTCAATCAGACACAATCTTAGTAATGAGAATCGTCACCCTTTTCTTTAATTGACTTGGATTTTTGACCGTTGTGTGCCGATCCATCTCGCACGATCCATCTCGCCTATCATTGTCTCTATTCCATCAAGGTGATTAGTATCTTGGCGGCTACATTCTTGAGGTTTTCGCTCTACGGGTTTTGGCTTCCTCTGGATAGGGCTTCTTAAAAAGAACATATCATATGTTCCCTCATTTCTAGCATCAACTGTCCTTCATTTCCTCTACTTAATGCCACACCATCTCCCATTTACTATGCACATCTACTGCTTAACTCCATGCCTCCTAATCGACAGCTTTGTCGTTGCGCTGTGTTCCTCTTCTTGTTGGTGACATGACACTCACCCCACCTTTTAGGATGTTGAGTAAGGAAATATCTGAGAATCAAACCCAAAGAATAGATCATGTAATGAAGGGGAGGATGAGTAAGAGCGAGGAGTCAAACAGTAAAAATATGAGTGTAGAGTCTTTCTTCATGGAATGTTCTCCTATTTATAGATATAGGAGACACCCTGAATACACAATTACCTTTATGCTCCCTTTATATGCAAAAAAAGTGAGGGGTACTAAAGTCATTTATACAATATATTTAAATATGCTGACAAATAAATTGTTGGCAGACAACGATAATATTTCGCCCGTTGGAGCATATTTATTCATTCGATAGTGATGGGTTGAACCACGTGGGGGTTATATGAAGTCTCAATCGAGCTTGTCTATGACTTCCCCTCAAACTCTAATTCACTTTCCTCATTCCCTTTGTGGTAGACCGTTCTTCCTTCGATTCGCTCTGTGGGTATTTTTTGTTCGGCTACTTTTATGGCCAGCCCTTGTTCGACTTCTATGTCGATCAACCCGTTGACTAGTGAACGATCCAACAGAGTTCTGAGATGCATCCTCGGCTTTGGCGTTGATTTTCCTTCTCCATAAATTATATCAATTTGTTGACTGATCTAGGCATATTTTGATCGTGGGTCCACCTCATTTGTCGTGTACTCATATTTTGCTCTAAGATTCGCACTACCACAATCCTATTATACAAGAACATTGAGAAATTTACAAGACTACCTTGTAATTGGCCACACAAAAAAATAAAAAAACCGAATGCAAGCTATCTTTCATTTCAAAATTGACTGATCACATTTTCAAGATTTGTTTTATTCTACATCATTTGCACTCAATTCTTCCCTGCTCCTAAATAGAGGCATTTACATACATACCACTCCATCCATATATATTTACGTGTCTAACACCTAAACTTTATTTTGTCACATTTATATCACCTAAATCTATTATATCACATAAAAATACCACTCTTTTAACATTTGCAAAGTGGAACACACATTTTCATGTAAAAAAAAATGGTATGTATGTAAACAAAATTGAAGTTGAATACTATTTAAAATATTTTTTTGTTATCAATTTAAACTTTTTATAAATACTATTTAAAAAACTAAGCCGATCAATCATCCAACCATTGTTCTATGTCAGCCTTTGAGGTTGGCCACGTGGCAGCTAGCTCAAGTTGCTATCACTTTGTAGAGCAAGGGCGGCTACAATGAACGGCGGACAAGGACCGCTGATTTCGACAATCATAATTCCCAACCAGAATGCGAAGGGTGGAAGGCCATGTGATTGTGAGATGCGGGATGGCAAACCCTACTGTATCTTGCAGCTCTTCCTTTTCTTTTCCTTCATTAGTGCTTTAAAATGACTCATTGTTGTATAGCTGGGAATGCAAATGGATGTCCAAACGTCATCATCTCGTTTTCAGCAGCACATTCCGGAAGACCTTCATCCGCCAAAAGATTGGGCAAGCAGTTCCGGATACAATCGTGTGACAGGAGGTACTCCTACGGCTCCCTGGTATTCAAACTTATCCTTCTCCATCTTCATTCTCTAGCTGTGTTTACTATTTATTGCTGGCTCGCTCTAATGTGCTTGATTGCTGCTGATTAGGGCAATGCCAGCAACTTTGAAATACAGAAATTAGGTTACTTTTGATGTTGCACTGCAATTTTTTAGGGTTCCTATTTTGGGTCATTTTACTATAATACGGGGTTTTTTTTATCTATCGTGAATGAGGATTATGAGAGATTTTTTTGGCTTTCTAGACTGAGAAGAAATAGCAGTTTCAAATGATGCTTGAGCTCATGTGTTTTAAATATTGGATATTTGTAACCTTAACGCATTAATTCTGAAAATGGATCCACGGTTAAAACAATGGGGTGAGAATGTGATTTTGATCTAGTTAATTGATCTGTCTAAAATCATGAGGCTCCCAGATATTAGTTTTATTTGAAGTTTTTTTTTTTGACAGTTAATTTTTTTGACATGCATTTTTATACTATACTCGTTTTTATGAGCAATTGAAAGCTTGGTGTTACCATTTTGGTGTCTCAAGTTCAGGCTGTAAGGCTTTTTGGTCCACCAACAAGATTTGAGGCTTCAAAACTTAAAGTGGTTTTTGTTGGAGATGATATGGAGAAGCAGGCTTTGAGCAGTGCTGCTAGAGCATATACTCTGACACATTGTGACTTCACAGCAAATTTAACTCTGGAAATCTCAAACAACATAAACCATAGCAAGGTATTTTGCTTGACTATCTAAGTTTAATTTTACATTCACCTGGACCTTAGAAAGTTGGCATTTAAATTATTAGTTCTTTAGCCTCATCCCAACTACTTTGATGTGCCATGCTCCCTTGAATTTAGTTTATGGAAATATTTGTTCACTTCTGATCAAATGACTTAGGTCTACCATTTTATTCCTTCCTTTCATTCAATATTATTAATCCCGGGTTATTGCTTGATTCTTTATATCTATATCTATACATACATACATACATACATACATATCTTCTGCTCCTCCTTCACAGACAGCTCACACCGCTTCCTCCCTTCACCTGGGACTTGTTTTGGAAAATCATTTGCAGGTTGCTGATGCTGTTTGCCACCTCTCTTCTTTCACAGATAAAACAAACGATCCTCCCAACATTCCAATACAAGATGCTACCACTGCACTTGAAAATGAATGGCTAGTCCAACGACACACTAAAAAGAAAGCTAAAAGAAATAATGAACTTTCTCAGCTGAATGCAAGAAATATCATACAAGATGACATTTGTTATTCTGATGGAGAGCAGTTAAGCAACCCTTCTAGATCTTCTAGGAGGGCTGGCTTGAGACATCATATTTAACATAATGATTTGAAATATTAGGGGTGTGACTGACCCTTCCTCTCTTAATAGGCTTAAACATCTTTGTAGGGTCAACAAAATTTTCATCTTTGCTATTTTGTAACCTCGTGCCAGTCAACAAGAATAGAATTCTCAATAATTTCAAGAGCTATCAACATTTTTGCAATAAAAATAATAAAATTTGGATCTTCTGGAAGGACACTGTTACTTTAATAATTGTTGATGATGAGGAGCAATTTGTATTAAATTATTTCAAGTTGGAGGATTTTCATGGTTGGGCTACTTTTGTTCATGCAAGTTCACTTTTGCAAGGTAAGTACTTGCTGTGGCATAAGTTAGAATTGATGGGTTCTACTATTACTAAGAATTGGTTTATGGGGGGTGATTTCAACATAGTAATGAAACTTGTTGAAAAGAGGGGGGTGGCAGGTGTGACACTAAACTTATAAATCATTTTTGTGACTCTGTTTTTGATGCAGACCTTTTTGATCTGGGCTATTCTGGTTCTCCTTTCACCTGGAGAAGGAGATTACTCTCTCAAAGGCTAGATTGTTTTTGGGGCACTTATCATTTTCTGAATTACTATCCAATTATTCGGGTCCAACATTTAAATCATGCATACTTTGATCATAATCCCATTTTACTTAATTTGGCTTTCAATGTCAGACCTTCCATTTATAGTTTTAAATTTCTAATTATTTGGACTACTTATGATACTTTCTTAAGTCTTGTTTTACAAATGTGAAAATTTGATGGTGCTGGGACCCCTTAGTTTATCCTATGGCAATTGCACAAAAAATTAACTACTAATTTGAAGAATGGAACTTTTAGGTTTTTGGTAATGTTCACACCAAAGTGCTGGAGGCTCAACAAACTGTTAATCAATTAGAGTCCCAGGTTGTTGGTTCACCTGATTTGCTGGATGCTGTTGAAAGACTCACCTAGCACTTCAGGATGCAATCTCTTTGGAGGAATGACTTTTACAACAAAAGGCTAATGATATCTACTTTACTGCTGGTGACAGAAACACCAAATATTTTCATGCTACTCTTAATCATAGAAGAAATATAAATAATATTATGAAGATAAAAAATGCCAGTGGTGATATCTTGACTAATAATGATGACATTGGTATCCTTCTTGTGTCTTTGTATAGGAATTCTAGAAATTTGAGGAGCTTGATCCCTCACCAAGGACCAAAGTTTGTTTATGTTCCATTCCCCTTCATTCCAATAATCAGAGACAAGTAAGTGTGTGTCAGAAAAGGAGTGGGGTAGAACCGTAAGGTTAGACATACCCCATAGATCATGCTAGAAAAAAATTTTACCTTCCCCCACATCTCAAAAAATGAAATTAGCAGCTATAGATCTGTCATGCAGGATGGCTTTCCAAAGCTCGGAGTCCCCAACCTTCCATGTGACAGTGGAGGGGTGTGCATGGGTGTAATATTTATGATGCATAAATTGTGCCCATAAAGAGTCACCAGTCTTAAATTCAAACCAAAACTTATACATATTGATATCCACAAGTTGCTGTAGAGTTTTAATACCAAGACCACCGGAAAGAAGAGGTTTGCATGATTTTTTCCAATGAGCCCAAATTTTACTAGTACCACTACCCGACCAAAGAAACTTGTTGAAAATAATTTCAGGTGTTTTTTGAGTACTCTTCTTAATTTTAAGCACCTGCATAACATACAAGGGAATGCTGGAGAGAACACTTTTCAACAAGGTTAGCCTACCACCACTTGATAAGAAAACATTTCTCCAATCAATAATTCTGGATTTAATTTTGTCCACGACATCATCCATTTGTATTTGCTTCCTCCTTCCCCTAAGAATGTTAACCCCCATGTATTTAATGGGAAGATGTGCAACTTGGAAACCGGTAAAGGTGGTTGCCCAATTAGCAATATTGCAATGAACTGAATTCCCAAAGTATAAAGAATATTTAGATTTGTTAAAAGATAAGCCGACTTACTTAATAGCATACTTACTAGCATTGGAGAAAAGTATAGCATCATCAGCATATGCTAGGTGGCTAACCGAAACTTTGGATTTATGGGAAAATTGAATGTGGGGATGCTGAATATGTAAATGATTTAATAGATGAGATAGATAGTCAAAAACAATGATAAACATGGTGATGGAGAGTGGATCTACCTGTTTAATGCCTCTTTGTGCTGAAAAAAAACCATAAACTTTACCATTAACTAAGACACTATAATGATTGTTCTCCAACCATCTTTTGATAAGAGAACAAAAATCATGGTTAAAGCCCATAGCTCTCAAAATATTAAGGATGAAATCCCAATTAATAGTGTCAAAAACTTTATTAATATCATGTTTAAGGACCATGTTTCCACCTCTACATTTCTTGTCTAAATCCTCTATCATTTCCTGAGCAAGTAAAATGTTATCAGTAATTTCCATGCCCTTAATAAAAACAGATTGTTGTGGGGAAATAATAGTAGATAGATGTGGCTGAAGTCTGTTCACAATCAACTTGCTCAGAACTTTAGAAATAACATTGGACGAAAGTTATCCCAACTTACCTTATCATTGCTCTTGGGAATAAGCACAATCAAAACATAATTAAAATATTTACCTGTATTCTCACCAAGGAAAAAACTTTGTATATCAATGATAACCTCTTTCTTAATGATGTCCCAACAGTGAATATAGAAGGGAGAAGTAAAGTCATCCGGGCCAGGGGCTTTATTTGGATTAATAGCTTGAAAAACAGAGAAAATTTTCTGTTCTGTAGGAACTAGAGAGAGGGAAACAATGAGCCTTAGCTACTTCATCAAACAAAGCAGATAAAACAATGACTTGGGACTCCAATTGATCCAAATTTTGTTGAGCATCAATGACTTTTGTATGGACATTACCGAAGATCTGATAGTTTCATTTCCTTAAAGGAGCAGCTACTTTCTTATGAAGTTGCCATAGATTGAACCAAGGGGTACCAACATCATCATGTTTCCACACCTGATGCCTAAGATTTAAAAAAATATCATGAGTAGTCCAGATGTTAAGAAATTTAGAACCGGAAATGGAGGGTCTTATAGTGAAAGCCAAAGTAGAATGATTGATAGTTCCGTCTGTGGGTTAAAATTCACAGACCATTTCATGATATTCATTGCTTTATTATCAATCCAGATTATCATTCTAGCAAATAAGCGTGTGTAATCCTCTTAATTATTAATTTGAATAAGAATGTGTCTACGATCTAAGTGTCCAATTTTTCACTCCCCAACAAGATGCATAAGCTCAAATTTTTTATGAGTAATCTCCATTTTGGGATGACCATACAAAAATTTTCCCAATTGTCGTCTGAAGCAAGTTGAATACCTTCAGTTTCTGTGAAAAATATGACAGACTTCCCATTCTTCCTATCAGTTTTCTTGATGTTCTCCGCCCGCTCAAACGAAAGAGGGAAAGAACACGATTTAAGTGTACCTGAGGTGTGGGCACCCGCAAGGGTAGCAGCATACGATCTGTCTGAAGCCATCACCAATAGAAGGAGACGCGAAGTAAGAAACAGTGAAGGTCAGTGAAGTAAAGAGCAAATGCCGAACGGAATCCGCGGGAAACCATTTAGGAAGAGACTACGAAACACAGCACGAAAGGTTGGTCGGGATCGAACAGCCGCGCTCGATCGGGAATCCGTGGGAAAACCCTTCAAAGAGAGATGCACGAAGTATGACGCAAAAGCAGACGCCGCGATTGGTCCGGATCGAGCAGCCGCGTTCGATTTGGCCTTCTGCAAGCACGAGACGCTGTAGAAGCCGAGCCGACGCAATTCGAAACCTACCCACAGGAAAGAGCTGTCGCGTGGGGATGAAGACGAAGACGACGAAGAGAAAAGCAATGGTGGAGAAACCAGGGTTCGCCATAGAGGCGAAACCCTAGCAGAGCATGAGTGATGACCGCGTTATTATTAACACACACGCACACACACACACACACACACACACACACACACATATATATATATATACATGCATATATATTAAAAATGATGGACGATTGCTCTGCTAGGGTTTCGAACGGCGATCGCCATTGATTCGGTTGCTCGAAGCTTCCGCTCCTTTCTCCTTCGTCGACTCGCGCTCGTCGGCGTTCGTCTGCTTCTTAACGACGACGCATTCGGGTCTGCTCGATGCGTTGCTTCTGACAGAGCTGCTCGATCCGTTGGTCTTCTGACAGAGCCGCTCGACACGTCGTCTGCTCGGCTCTGCCTCTGGCGTCTGCGATAGGGCCGCTCGTCATTCACTGTTCTTCACTGTAGCTCAACGCGTACAGCTCTCCTTGCTCTGATGGCGCCTCCTCGTTTGGTTGAGCCAGACAAAATCTCCTTTGCCCACGTGGTGGGTAACTCTCAGGTG